GAAATATATAGAAACTGATCTAATTGTTGGTTACCTGCTTTGTGAAAACTATTCTTCCATCCAGGAAAGGGGGAACCAGATTGTGAACCAACAGGTGAACTTTAGCAGCGTTGTCTTCCTCAAAGTCTTCATCCACCTCCAGCCTTTGCACAACACCACTGGTCAACATGCGGTTCGTCTCCCAGCGTTCGTTATCCTAAAGGAAGAAAATAAGCAAATCTACAAATTAACTCAGAGCTTCTGCAAAGTGTTAATGTCAAAACTTAATACATTCTCCAGATTCAGATTTTCAGATTATTCTAGCTGTTTTAAAAAACACAGTTTTAGTTTAACTTTATTATCATAACAACTCATGAAACAATATAAAACTGAAGGTGGTTTTATGTTCAGTTGCATAATAAAAGACTGTTTTATCGCTTTGCTGGTAAAATCCTTTTAATTTAGTTCTGAAATTTCTAAATAAAAAAAAATAAAAAAACAAAGGCATGTCAGTGCTTCCTTTAGCATATAAAATCAAACCAAGTTTAAGAAACACAAATTCTAAGTGTTTAGAGGGAAAAAGAAAGAGAATTTGAATTAGTGTGCTTTTGTCTTTGGTCTATTATACAAACTGAATTAGTGTGGAAGCATTTAAAATTTTTGTCTGGGAAATAAAAAAGGGAAGGAAGCCAGGTTAAGCAAGCCTTCTTCCAAAATTGTACTGAAATCGAAGGACATTAGATGTTTTTTTAATTCTCAATTTTCCCATATCTATTCAAGCTTAAGTATTTTCAATTTTAGCCCAAGTTTATCTGAAAATGTGTGCTTTTACCTCATTGATCTGTCGCTTCTGAGCAGATATTCTTTTTTGAGTCTGCTTCTGGAGGATCTGCTCTCTCTTTTTCACATATTCTTCAGAGGTGGAGGTGAAAGGGTTGTGAAACTCATCATAGCCTTCGTCCATCATGTACCAGTCTCTGTCAGCTTGCTTTAATTCAAAGCCACAATAATCGATTAAGTTCTATCATTGGCAAGCAAGAAATATGTTCTGCAGTATAATTACTATAACTAGGAATAACGGTATGAATCTCACCTTTTGGTCCTCCTCCCACTGTTCTTTCTCATCCTCATTATCAAAAGGTATTCCTCCCTCATTTTTTTTGCCTAAAGGAAACACAAATAATATTGTATAACATTCTGCTGCCATATATTGCATTGGAAAGCAAAACAACTTGAACTTAGACAATATTACCTTTCCCTTGTGACAAACGAGGTGTGGAGCCTAAATGCTTTCTATCATTCGCCCACTCGTTGTACTTATAGGATGGGGTGGGCAGGGGTGTGTCATCAGTGTAACGGCCTCTGACTGATCTGAAAAATCACAGAAGACAAATGTTCCTGAGCAGTTGCACATTGCATAAGGGGTAGGATCACAATTTTAAACGATCATTTTAATTTTGGAAACAAGAAAAACTGTGAATTATGAGGAGGAAAAAATGGTAAAATTAGGAAATAAAACAATATCTGAAAACAACAGGACTAAGATTTTCAATTTATTGAAAAACAACTGGCCAATATGAAATTAAAGTAATAGTGAATGTTCAGGGTCATGCAAAATGAGGTGAATGACATTTACCTGTCCCTCCTCTCACTCTCTCGCCCAGAACGATGGCTTCTTTCAGAGCGATCGGACTCCCTGTGAGAGAGAGCTGGAGATGGAGACTCCCACTGGGAATGCCGTGAGCTACCATAACCACTATCGTCCTCATCCCAGTTAGATCGGGAAGGTGTAAAACCATCTATGCAAAGACAAAATGAGTTGAGTCAAACAAACGTTTTAAATTTTATTTTTATATGAAGACAAAGAAAATGAACTAACCTCTGGGGCGATTCTGTGGTGTCGCAGGTTCGTCTCTCTTACTCCCTCTGCTGATGCGTTCGGACCAGCCATCTCGCTGTGAGCGCTCACTCCTCTCACTGCGTTCCAAGCGCTCCGACCGGCTGCTACTGTTGCCCCGACTATGTCTACTGTCTCGATCGTCTGTCAGAGAAAAGGGAAATTCAAGGAAAATACAAGCAAGACTTTAAACTTTTAGATGATGCGGATCATGCAACATAACCAAATAAACAGCACAAAATGCACAAAGCACACAAATTAAGTAGGCTTTAACCAACAAATGTCTGAACTTTTTCTCATGGTCCACACACTACACTATAATCAAATGGCTGTTCTCATTAAAACATAAGTGGTCTTAGGAATCACCTCTCTCACTCTGTCGCTCCCTTCCTTTATCTTTGCTCCTTTCTCTGTCTCTGGTCTTGTCCTCCTTGGAGGAAGCAAAGACTCCCTGCTCACGCCTGTCTTTCTCCCGCTGCTCATGCCGGCGTCTAAACTCTTCACTGACGCCTCCAGGATTGGAGGGAGTCTCAGAGCCTGTAACACGGTACTTCCTGCAGGCACAAACAAAAGATACATCAAAAGTAGTTAGTAGCAGTTACTGTGCTATACATGCAAGTTTTAATTAAAACAAAACAGACATTCCTCAAAATGTTTTGCTATTACTTACCTCTCCTTCTTTGTGGCACTACTTGTATCATCCTCCTCCTCATCAGACCCGGAGTCACTTTTATTTTCCTCCCAATCTTTGTAGGAGGAAACCTTTGACTTCTTCCTGTTTCTTTCATTGCCATTAGACTCTTCTTGCTCTTTAATCTCCCGTTCCTTCCTTTTCTGCGCAGCCAGCAGGTCCAAGCCCAGCAAAGAGGTGCGTGGTGTAGGTGCCCGAAAAACATGTGGCTCTGAAGCAGCGCTCTTCTTCTTTACTATCAGACCTCCAACTTGAGCACCGGGCTGAGTCCCTTCCAGCCTATGCATGGACACGTCATCGTCATCCATAATCTATGGGAAAATATCAACAAAAGGAACAGGTAAAAATCTGCCATTCTACTTGGCTTTTACTCGTTAAAATAAAAGTGTTGCAAATTCATTTTGAGACAAAAATTTAGTTAATGTGCATTAACATTAGGTTTGGGGCAGCTTGAGATTGGCATGGCCTAAGACAAGCCAATAATAATATCGCAATCTAATGAAATCTCTATACTTACATAAAAGCAGAAAACATGTTAAGTTTCTCACCAGGCAACAGAAAGTGAGACTCTAAAAGTTTATTCTCTAAGAAACTATGGCTTTGATTTTGTAAAAGTTAAATATCACATGTATTTTTTAGATTTTATTCTATTCTTTTTAGTTTTTACACAAAGAATTAAATCTAGACACCAAAGTGCAAACACACAACTCCCTCCCCTCCACAACTCCTCCTATAAAATACGAAAGACTCACATAGCTACATCAAATCATTAGTTAATTTTGGGTCAAAACAGCCTAAATGAATCACTGGTTTAATAACTAAGAAATAAAGAAAGTTGCCCTTTAGTTTTTCTCAAAAACATGCCAGTGGCATGTTTATTAAAAATGTAATTTATTTGCAGAACAAATAAATTACATTTGTTCTGCAAATTCATCTTTTTATTGAGCATGTAATCGCTATAACTCATTGTAGTATTATATCACATTACTGTACCTATTCCTGCTAACCACAGCATTTTAAAGTAAAACCCATCAAATTCAATCTGTTTCTGAGTAATAATGAACACGCCAAGAACACGTCTTAATGAGATGATGTAAATTCCCAGCGTCATACAAAATATAAGCATTTAGATCTACATATTAATGTTTAAAGTATTTCCTACAACCCGGGATGAATAGCTGATGATTCGATATATCTTACCTTAGTTTGAGAAGCTAATGCTAGCTTGTCACAATCAAAGCAACAACACAGAGAAAGCTACGTATTCTCTTGAGCATAAAAATCAATAGATTTTTATGCTCTAGAGCACTGTACGTGCTCTAGTAACAAGCACGTACAGTGGAAATACGTAATTAATGGCGTCCTGGATAATAACTAAATCGCTTTCGTAAACCCAACGCGTATGTTTACAGATAGGGAAGCAGCCATATTTCTCAATTTTCTTCTGCCGCTGCAGTAAGCAGAAAAGACGCGCTACTGCCACCTACCGGGCATTAGAATAAGTTGCCAAGTTGTGATACGTTTGATCAGTGCTTTAAAATGTGTTTTATGGAACTTATTTTTGTAAATTAATTGAATTAATTAGTTTTTGGATATGCCACATCTTTGATAAAATGGGTTAGGACTGCGAAACAAAATATGATTTATGAATATTCTTGTTGGCCTACTTCTGCCATGTATGTCAATTTTCTGTAAACACGCAGGGATCAAAAAGTTGTTTCTAGACAATTGATAATCAATTATTCACTTCTAACTGATTAACCCTAACACCCCGCAGATCCGCCTTTGAATGCACTGAAAGAGAAAGGAGACAAGATTCTGCCTTATCTTGTCTTGTCTGACCTATCAACAGAAGACATATGTCTATAACCACAACGTAATTGCATATCATTTCTGTTGGCACTCAATGAACCTCAATGAACTTAATGAACCTCCATTGAGGTTCAGTTAGTGCCAATGAACCTCAATGAGTTCATTGGCACTAACTGTAGTGGTACACAATAAACCACAATTAGCCGGTGGTTATGCCGGTATGTTACTTATGTATGAAGAGTGGGGAGATTTTAAACAAAACTATAAATAGGGGAAACTAGTCTGAGTTTACGGGTTTACGACCAGAAAGCATACCAGACACACACTATCATATAGTCGCTGACTATGTTCAGCATTAGACATTTTTTTTCATATTAGAGCAAAAAGAAAAAAAATCGGATTTGTTTGAATAAGTCAGGTACTCACATCTGAGTCACTGATATATATTTTTTAAATGCTGTACAACACCAACTAACACCGGCGCGGCAACTGTCTGACTGACTAAGAAATGATGCGCACCCAGAAATGGTGACATGTCATGATCTGAAATGGCTCAATTTGATTGGCTACCACTGAAAAAGTCACTCCGCTATTGGCCAGTCGTGATGTGTGGGCGTTGGGGTGAAATAACACGAATGTCATTGGTCTGTTTCACATGTCTCCTGATGAACCCGGTGTAAATGTTCTATAATCTGACTAAATACATCGGTCACGCGCGCTAGGTTCGTTTTCGTATCTGTTTTATTTCGCTTTTGTTTGTTTATTTATGTTGTTATATCCTTGGACTCTTCGTTTGTACCGTTGAACTCTTACCAAAAGGAAGAAAAGGCTCGTTTTATTGGCTAGCATAATACCGTGGTAACAGACTGTAACAAGAGCTAGAGTCCACCCTGTTTTCTACTCAAACGTAAGAATGGAAATAAATGAACATTCGGGCAGCGGATCTGTTAACGCCAACAGTAATGAGAACAACGGAGAAACTGCTGACGGGGGAACAAAATATTACACGTTAGAGGAGGTCCGAATGCATAATATGTGCAACGACACGTGGCTAATCATCCATAATAAGATATACGACATTACAAGTTTCCTAGAGGAGGTAAGAAGCACTCTTTTTATATGCACTGGTTGCATTTGTTTGACAGCAATCTTCTTTCAGGATATATTTCGTTACTTGTAGGCATGTGACGTTGTGTAAGCCTACTTCCTGAATCTCTGATAATGCCCTGTATTGATGTGTAAAGTTTGTTTCTTGTTCATTAATGCTGTTAACAGAGACATAACGCAAAGTACTAAGTCTGATTTGGTGTTTCCATCGTGTTTAATGAGACTGCTTTAAGCTATATCTGTGAAATTGACAAGCACTGAGACATCTTAACTGTTAGCATTCAATATAATGGCTTTAAAGAGACAGTACCGCAGTAACAGTTTTATATAACTGCCACTCACAGGTAACTGTGCATATTCTAGCATTAAAATACTCACTGTTGTTCGTTCAGAAATGAAGCAGATTCCCTAAAAATGTTTGTTTTTGACCGTTCCTCCACTATGTAAAGAAACTGCACAGTGGAGTATGTTCTTCTATAATTACCTACCAGAGGCACCTTCCTATATTGTAATGTTTGGGCAACATTCAAAATGCTACCAATAACTTTCTTTGGATTTTGACATCACTGTTCATAATTTACATGATGAAAGCATAATTTTATATCGTAATGTTGTTTTAGATTGTTTTTAATTTTTAAAGGTATTATTTTTCATGACATACTCCTGCAAGGTTGGGATAATTGGCCCCATCCTGGTCCTGAGCACCCACCTTCCTGCAAGTTTTTGATATGTTACACCACATTTAAATGGTCCCTGTTTGCTGCTCTTTGAATTAGCATCCAGGAGGCGAGGAGGTTTTGCTGGAGCAGGGAGGGTCAGATGCCACAGAGAGCTTTGAAGATGTCGGTCATTCTACGGATGCCCGGGAGATGCTGCAGCAGTACTATGTTGGAGAACTTCACATGGTAAGAAGACAGGTGGTTTCTTACCTTCTTTTTAGCTATGCTTTGGTTATATTCATAGAGTTCTATGAGTTTCCTACATAGTCACAAAAAGTATGAAATTGCATTTGCAATGGATTCAGATTAAATGCCAAACAAAAAATGGCAATACTGATCACACTGTGAGATATGACCGGAATTTAATCCAGGATATTTACAGTACATATGTTTGTAGTAACTATAGATTTGAAGTGATCAAAGTTTGTACAGATACCACAAATCAGCACTATGTTGTTTCATGATTTGTGGAATAAAACTGATTTTGGAAGAAGGCAAATGCTTTGCATTCATGTCCATATTATCATAAGAAGCTCCCAGAAAAATGTAAAGAATCGAGTCAGGAAAACTAGGTGTTATTAAAATGCAAATTTCACAAAAAAAGAGTTTTTTCTATTAGATTATTTTTACAGTATCAAAGTACCAGTGAGTAAAAGCAAACAATTGGTGTTTGCATCACCTTCTTAATAAAATGGTAGCAATTTATCATGCATATTGATTGTGTCATGTCTGATTTTATAAGTTTTACAAGCTTTTTAAGTGTTGATTTGTCACACTCCCTCACAAGCTGATCATGTGAGCAGCAGTTTCTGATCCTGTGAGAGACAGCAAGTTGTTTTGTGTTTTGGATTTTCATCTAAGTAAAATGCCAATAAAAATGTATAGACTTCTTTCCTACATGTAATCCCATAATTTTGCTTTTAAGGCCCCACATTAAGTTTTTGAATCTCTTAAACAAAAACATTAATTTAAATTAAAAAAAAAAAAACTTTGTTGGAAATTTAGAGTGGTGTGCAGCTTGCTACTGGCGTTTAATGAAAGGCTAAAATAGAGTCACCATTGACAAATGGTATGATTGCACACAAACTGCTCCACCTTAACTCCAGTTCACTTGGTGACGATTAACAGCAAATTTATACTCAACGCACTTTACAAGAAAAATATGTTTTATACTGATCAGATCAAACCGCCACAATCCAAACATATAGAATAATTCAAATTCATTGACTTAAATGCAATAAAAGTGTAGTTTTAGATGCAAATGATGTCAAATGAAGCCCAGCTAATTGGAGCCCACATACTTGCTTCTCTTGAGCAAGTATGTGGCGACAATAGACAGTTGATTGCATTACACAACTTCTCCTTTGAGTTTAAACCTGTAGAACCCAGATTAGTGTAAATGTCTGTCTGCTGTGATTGGATGGGGTTTGGGAGCACATTCAGTATAAAAAACTGATTAAGTTCAATAAACGCTTGCTTGCTCCAGCTATATTTACATTTATGTTGAAAAAATGTTTTTTTAAATACCATAGTTTCATAAAACCTGCACGATCCTATAAGTTAAGACAGAATTTTACATTGTAGATTTAATGCATCACATATCAGTTTGTAGGGGATGCATTCTGAAACTTCAACTTTCTGTACACTTACTACTAAGTTATGTAATAAGAATTTACATGTATATTGAATTATTATACAAATTATCTGAACTACACTTTCTTATGTGCTGCAACATTAAAAACATTAATTGTGAATTTATGTGTTTATAGGCTGACAGGAAGGAGAATAACACAAAGGTAGGCACCAGTCCACTCTGATCATCCAACTTTTACATAATTTAAATTTTCGTTTTCAAAACTTTTGTTTGAATTCAAATCATTTCTTTTGCTTTAGGTAGCAGAGGCTAAAGATTCTGGAGAATCCAGGTGAGACCGTGTGTTTTATCAGACATTTCACAAGTTTTATTTTGTGACGTTATAAACACTATGATTCGAAATCTTTGTAAATATACGACAGATCGTAATACTTGCATGTAATTGTTATGCCTTCTTTTCAGCAGTTCCTGGGCCATGTGGTTGATACCCACAGTAGCTGCAGCTGCTGTTGGTGTCCTGTATCGTTTCTTTATGTCTGAACACAAGTCTTCTTGAGAACTTTATCTCAATGTTCTTATCTGGAGGCCTTGCTTTTTCCTTTTTTGACCAAACCCATCTCATGCTGAAAAAAAAAACAAAAACACACAATTAACTGTTTGCATCTTCTGCTACAAGAAGAGAGGAGGTTCCACTTCATAAATATCTGTCCTTGTTTTGCTACATAGTGTGCATGAAACACAAAGTCAAAAGGATTTATTAAAATATATGCCTTATGCTTTTTATGTAATTATGGTGTTTTTCATAAATAAATTAAAATGTGGTTCAAAAGCTACACTTTGAAATTTATACCAACTAATTTAGTACTTAAGCGAAATAATTTTTCACGTTCACAGGAAGAGACAACATGACCAGCATTACAGTGTGAAGATAGACAGCTTGACACAAAGCAAATTAACCTTCATTTTATTCTGGATAACTACTATATTTACCCATTCAGTGACAAATGTTTAAGAATTTAATTGAGAAGGATGTAATGTTTCCTAAATGTACAGTTATGCTGTCTAAGCCATGTCTGAGCATGTCACTTTTCTTGCAAATACAATCTGTCCAAAATATATATATGTCAGGTGTTACATTTTGTTTGTTGCTTTTTTTAATCATGGTGAAGTGTACTATGTGATTATTTAAGATAGGATGCGCTTTCCCTACTCTTATTATATAAAATAATTAAGTAATATTGTTTTAGTTCCCTTATGTATTGAATATTAGTAAATACCTGAGATGACTCCCTTGAAAAAAAAATGCTATTTGAGTTCATCCAGCACTGTGCTGTTTAGCTGAGTGTTTTTTTTTATTATTTCTTTATCATTCAATCTATTTTCTGGGATATAGATAAAAATTTAGTAAAGATAAAATAGTTCACTGTTAAGTTTAGCTTGTTTTAAGTATTGTTAGAAAACTGAGGAACTTGCTCCTAACATTTGAACCATAAATGCGGGTCTTGCAGCCTACAGCTGTTTACCATAGATCATCATAATCATCTGTTTTCAAATCATACGTTCTGCAGAGGAGTTAGTTCAAGATGTCTTGAATTTTTTTCTTTATTCACAAAAAGTTCTTTAAAGATTGTGGTACTACATTTTAGCCTTTCATTAAATGTCAATAGTAACATTTATCCTCAATTCATACTTGAAGATATCCAATGAACATTTGCTAAGATAAGGAGTACATTTGTGTCATTTTGCGTTCTTTGTCATTACTGAACATCTGTTTGAACTGAGTAGAAACTTAATTATCACATTCAAATTTGTAAACGAACTAATGTATGTAGAAATGGTATTATGTAATTAAAGACATTTTCAAAAAAGGCTACATTATTTCTGCCTGTGGAGTGGAGAAACTTTTGTAAAATTATTTTCACTCTTTTGCAAAATCAGTTCTTTTGTGGATCATCTTTTCAAGAAAATAAAATACTATCATAAAAGAAAAATACAAAACTTAGATTAATCACTTGTGAATTTTAATCAGGATGCCTAAATGTCTTATCACATGAATTAAACTCCGATTTAAAATTTTTGAAAATCAAATCTCACCCTTTTAATTGTGGGGAAAGGTCTAAGCATGAACTCTATGAATGGTTCATATTATACTAACAAGAAGAAGACTGAACTTGTTAACTGAATTCAAAGTGTTGTAGCAAAATAGTGTTCAAAATATATACATTTTTACAGTAATTGGACACTTGAGTACATTTGATTCTTGGTAGTCAATAATGACATCTAACTGGTCAAAATGTATCCTCTTAGCTGCCTGCTAACTCTATTTGGTCATGACTCCACCATTTGCATCACCCACTGCTGTCACAGTTGCTGACAAACCTGTGGCTGTTCTTCATGTGCACTAAAGTATTTCCAAAATGGATCATCACATAAAATACATTTTTGTTATTGAATTTACAAGTAGATCAAAATTATTCATATCCCTGTCTTTAAATTATTTTCAGCCAACCAAAAAGTTTGTTTCCGATGAAAAATAGGAAACAAACTAATACTACTATTAAAGTAACTATTACATTACTTTAATAGTTGTTAAAATAATGTAAAAGTGACATGGTTTTAGTAAAGAATTATTCCTGTTTTTAATGTTGACCAACATTTTGCTCAAGTTCCAAGCTTTTGAAGTTGAAAGGCCTCCTTACCATCACCCTAATCTTTAGACTTGTCCCAGGATTCTCCATACACACCTTAAGTTACAAAAATATAGTTTTGATCTTAAATCTTTGGACTTAAGAATCTAAAATTGATGTATCTCACTGTGCTGAACTTTACCCTTAATAAACCTTTCCAAGTCTCATTTAATCACTTGTTGCTTCAGTTTCCACTAAGAGATATTTAACATATTTTAGTGCAGAGTTTTAAAATCATACTTCAACGTTGCATGCTTTGCTGTTTTCACTCCCCTAGTCCCTGACACAAAGGGAAAGATCCAGGTCAGTTGCACACAATGTGAAACTGTAATATGCACTGAAGTTGCTTTCCTAATTTAAGCAGGTAGTTTTATCTGGAAATCCTCAACAGCAGATGTTCAAACATTGATAAAGAGTCACTTAACGAAGGGCCTTCGTTCTGTCAAAGCTGGTAAACACGAGCATATCCGAAGATAACGAGAGGTGTTAATTAATGAATATGTTTACATTTATGACACAGCTCATTATAAAACTCCCACTTTGCATACAAGTTGTTAAATTATTCTACAATGAGAATTTTAATGGTTCTATTCTTTTAAATAATAGACTTAACTATAAACTGATTTTTAAAAAAAGTTACAACACAGAATTTGATCAATTATTATTTTGCTCTACAGAGTTAATCCTCACTTCATTTCAAATGTCATTGCTACGTTCTTGCATCCTGCATTGTGTGAAAATTACATTACACAATATAACCTTTTTATAGTCCAGCCCTTCTAAACGCAAATAACATTGTGTCCTGGAGTATGCCTGCCTGCTCCTGTGAGCTACTTTCCTGGCATGTAAGTGGACCAGAGCAGTAAAAACTCATTATTGAAATAAAAGCCTTTCCATCTGCAGCCCCAACAAGAGCCCTCACAAGTTGGAGTTGCTATGCCTGATAACAGACACAGTAGATGTTCTCACCCAGCGATTCACCCCTTTTTGTGGCTTAAAGTCAGTGAGAGATGTCAACAGTCTAGTCTCATCATTTTATTACTTTAAAACTAAATACAGAGGTTTTTTATTTAAAAAAAAGTTAAGTGACTGCAGTTTTTATCATTCTCTGGAATATTGAAAACCCAAATACAACAAACACTCACACTACTTGTAATAAAATTGATTGAATCTTTCAGAAATCCTCTAACAATTCTGACGTAGTTGTTGAATTTCGTCTGCTTTATTTGCATTATTTTATATAACCACAAGGTGGCAGTGTAAGCCCAGGATTTGAATGTTTCTGTTTTTTTCCGTGAAAAACTATTGTGTTCTTCACTGAAATGGCCAAAGTAGCGTATTCCGCCACTGTGTGTTTGTCTGCAGGTTTTCAGCGAAAACAGTGAATCCATCATTGTCACACATGGCCTATAAAACAGTAAGGATTGAAACAGCAACTCTCAAAATTGTGACTGGTAATATGAATGCAGATAAAGACCAAACATGAGTTACATTTTTTTTAGGGACAATTTAGTGAAAAAGCTGGATTTTTAAACCAGTTTTGGAATCTACTGTATGAAAAACAAGCAAAAGAATAAATTTCCTTTTTTGCTACACTATAATACACAACCCATGCATTAGTTTCTTGCTGCCTATACTTTCAGTCTTTCATAAGGCCATTAGGTATTTGATGGCCTTGATGTAACACCAAGATGACAGGCTCAGTAAAACAGCATGTTGCATCTGCAGGAACATCAGATAAACATTACTCGCCATGGCTGAACCGCCTGTCATCTATTAGCAGCAATCCTCAAGGACAACTGAGGGTGCTAATGGGCAACACTTCACCATCCTCTTCAGAGACCTGCTTGTCAACAGACGGGACAGCTTAAAAGTACCACATTTGGATGCAACAAGAGAAAACTCTTTCTATATTTTATGAAGAGGAAGGCTTGAAATGTCATGTCAACCTGTTCTTATCCAGTTGAAATTAAGCTTTGATAAATTGCTTTTGTTTTCAAATCTAGACAGCAGAGACCAAGAGTGTAATATTGTGGTTGCCAGTCTTGGAGTCTGCAGTTTTGTGAGTCTAGTACTATGACGCAGCTGTTTTCCAATTTCTGAGGCTAAGTTTTTTAAATATTTTGCAGCAATCTATGTACATATAATTCTTACAATTTGTTTAAAATGCATGCACTGGGAAGGAACTGATTAATGGTGCCACAAAATTTTATATTATTATAGCCATAAACAGCTTGTTTTTTCCAGCTTTTAGTGCTGGTTAATATTCCTTTCAAGCCTTATACATTATAAATACCTTCTGCAGTATCATTACCTGAAGGCCAAAGCAAAATGTTACAAATAGAATATCAGTTTCAAATTATTTTGGACTTTTTAATATAAAACCTGTGGCTTAACCTGTTATCTAACGTGTTTCTGGTAGGTGTAAATTAACATAATTCAATTCAGTACTCATCTATTGATGAGTACTGAATTGTGTCATAACATATTGCTTTCATAACATATTGCTTTGTGTCAATATGTTATGACACAAAGCACATCACGAATACAACAATTTTTTTTTTTCATATTTAATAATCACAGAAGTGATGTGCAGTTCTCATGAAGCAGCAGTTCGGTGTTCATTCTGGTTTAGACATTTCTCAGTTTAAGTGGACGTTTCTCAAGTGTGGTGGTAGTAGGTTATTGATGTGTTTGAATCACTCTTTACAAGCCCTATGCACTTCAGCACATTTGAAGTACAACTTGTAAGTTCGCATGGTTCTAATGCTGCAGCATGAGAAAGCATTGGACCGATTTGAGGAAAAAAAAACAAGCAAGGTTTTGGACGATCATTGATAACAATAGTTTACCAACATGCAGCCAGAAAAATAGGACCTTAAAAACTCCCAAAACACGCACATGACTCAAAGGTATCATACTTTATTTTGCAAATCATCCTCAAATCAATCTTTATTTTTATAGTTGAACAAGTGAAAAATGTAGAAAAATAGATACAAAAGTCATGAACGCAGTCATTTGTTCCCTATTTTCAGTTGATAATTATAACAAGCAGCAATTTAAAAGTGTATAAAAAAATTTCAACTCAAAATATCAGCCTTTACAAAGAAAAAAACTTTATTTAAAGACAAAAATGCTTATTGCAATGTAGAATACAAACACATAAAGGTGGTAATTCCTCCGGATTATTTATAGATTCTGAGCCCAAGATCCTCCAAATACAAGTTGTCTCTTCCCGCCATGAACGTTGTGACCTTTCTGCAGTCCAGGTGCTTAATTACTTTTCTCCTCGCATGCACTGAAATGCTGCGACTTAAAGGTTAACCTCTCTTCGTTGGTATATGTCAAATAGTTTAAAATGAACAAAGGTGGATAGCCTCAGTAGTTCAAAGTGTTTGAAACCAAGTTGCAGCCTTCACAAAAAATCTCACATGAGAGGGAGCCTAAATATCACTTTCTTCTGATGAGCTAAATGACAGATTGTGAACGACTGAAATGTGTCGAGATAAGTTTCAGGTTGACGCATTAAAAAAAAAAAAGGTGTATGCAGAATAATGACAGGCTTATCTGTAGCAAAGCCAAAAGTGATGACTAGCTGTAAAAATAACTAAAAATTTGATTTAGGATGCCACCTTGGATTGCAAATTAAATCCCAACAATGGTGCATCTGTTTTCAGTTGAAAATAACAGTTTAAAACCTAATGTAATCCATACTGATGCAGACTGTAAATCAGTTTTACACAGAAATAATCACCATTACAATCTATCAGAATTTTAAACTATTTGCACTGCAAACAAATTGATTGCTTATTTCTGCTTTAGTTTTTCAAAACACCAATAACTGGGCAATGATTTTAAAAGTGTGCAGGTCACTGACCATGTCCTTTATGCTCTTGTTTCTGGGTTCAGAGGTTTCAAGCCAAACTCAGCAAGGTGCAGGTGGAGGACACACTGGAGGCACGCTCATGAACCATGTTGTTGTTGTCTAAAATTCCCGAGACAAACTGTGCTGATGATCTGCTGCTCCACCCAAAGGCGTCTGCCAGTTCAGGACAGATGGCCAGAGCAACCCTCTGCAGAATAAGATGGAACTTCCTGCGAAAGTTTTTGTTTATCCAGAAGTAAAAGATGCAGTTGAGGAAACCATTGGAGGTTGGGAGCCACACCACAACAAACTCAATCCACTCTGGTACTGTGCTCCCAGAGACTGCTGTGGGACAGAAAATGTAGAATAAATATGAGTCAGCCTAGTGACAGAAACAACAAGTGTGCACAGCTCTCAAATAAAAATATTATTTCACTTTTCATCATATATAATTAATGGCGGTTTTTTGGACATATGGGGAAAAATGCCTCAATGCCCAGGACGTCATCTCTTCGTGGGCAGCGTGAGGCTCATGCACTACAAAGAAATACAGCTGCTCATTGCAGTCGATTAAGGCTGCAGGAATCTGATACGAATATCAGATTTTGCTCTAAATTAAAATTCTCTATCAGTTGTTTCCACCTTCTGGGCTGCACTTTATTTCCTCTACTTAAAATAATAGATAGCAAAAATAAAAAAAGAACATTGTATGCATTTTTGCCACTGATACAACCTATAACTTAAGCATAAAAATCTCAGTATTTTCTTGGAGAGAGATATTCTGCACTGATGACAAATGGTGGAGTTAGAAATATGCTAGTCAAGTGCATCCCTGCAACATTGTTCACTCATTAAATCATCAATCAGAAACTGATGAACAAGTGACAAAGTATTATTTACATTTTCAGACACATAAAAACTATATAAATTAAACATCTATCATGCTTCACCTGTTTCTAGTAATGACATTGGCTAAGAACAATTTCGAGCTTTACGGTAAATTAGCTCACGATCAAGAAGATGAGACTTAGTGGAACCAAGTAAAGTGCTTTATTGTTGGGCTTGTGATCATTTAGAAGAGTGCACATTTGCAGTTTAAATTAAGACTCTCAGCTTCACTTTGCAAGGATTTTCATCTGTATCTGATAGATTAGAGGCCTGCTTGAAAAAGAGGGAAAAAAAGATCTTCACTTCCAAAAATATTCTGCCACAACTCCACTTTCACACTGATTACTCCAAACCCGCACATGATCAGGGTGAATTAGAAAATAAATAAATAAAAAAGTCTGAGTCATCACCAGCCTTAAAAAAGTACATCATGCCCATGATTACATGAATAACTCTGACAGCTATTCCTCCCACAATCTTGGCAGAAACTGACATATTTGATGGGGGAAATGATGAGATGTTTAATTTTGAAAGACAGATGTCCGTCTTACGCATCAAAGAATAAAATATTTTCTCATACGAAGTTGATATAATATGCAAAAAGCATATATACACATGATCAATATCTAACATAACTGTAACAAAAGCAGAAATCTGTTCTGCATCATTCAGTACATGCAGCCAAAAATGACATCTGGCTGTGTGTCTCAAGTCATCACTGTGACACACAGCACAACAACTCTGTTAGAGGAGTTACTGATGCAAGAGCAATAAGTGACAAAAAGGTGCAACTCTGTTTATTAGAATATCAGCTAAATGCTATTTCGGTACTTCAATTCAAAATATGAAACTCATTATGTTGATTCATTTCAAACAGAGCAGTATGTTCCAGTTGCCATTTATGTAGCTAATGAAAACCCAAATAGCCTATTCTTTGGAGAATAGGCTACAACAAAAAGAGGATTTTCAACATTCGTAAAGGAAATGTTTTGACCTATCAAACCCTAAAGAAAACCACTGACTAGAAAGCAGTCTAGTAGACAGTGGATGACCCCTACATGAGAAGGGTGGAAAGCCACAATCATGGAAAGTTGAGTTGAAGGCAAGTGTGGTAGGACCAGGGGCACAGGCAACAGAGATTGTCACAGCTTAAACATAAAGTCCATTCAAGCAAGTTGGGAAGATTTTCAAGGTATGAAATGTGGCTGAAGTTGGAGCTTCAAGAGCCATCACACTAACATGTAGCCAGGATGTCGCAGCTGTATTTCTTGTGTTAAACCACACCTGAAACTGCTTGATGATTGTCCACCAGCAGTGGTGGAATTCAGTAAACATGTAAGAGAAAGCTAAAACTGTGAAATGAAATACACAAAAATGCACTTTCTATAAATTGTAGTGAATGAGAGATGTCTAAATAAGAAGCCACTGTGCGGGCAACAAGTTTGGAATAAAAGTTTGTTCATATTTCCACATTAAATCCTGTTTAGATGCGATGCTTTGCTTACCACTGTAGATCATAACCGCCATGCAGGGAGTCCAACACGTGTAGTACGCTGCCATCACAGGCACGAGCACTCTAGCGGCAACATTGTGCCTGTTGCGCAGCGCACAGCCGTATTTGCGCAGTTTTAGCCTCTGTCTCCTGGCCGCGCACCACACCCTCACGTTTGCATACGTCATGACAATGGAGCAGGGGAAAAATATTAAACAGGTCAAACTTAAGGTGTAGGCAACGTTTGTAGAGTAGGACGGGTTGCACACCAGCGACGCGGTGGAGAAGTGGACCTCGATGATGCCATCTGGGAATGTGACCGGCGACAGCAAGAAGAGAGGGAAGCACCAGGCGAAGGCGATGAGAAGCAGGGTCCTTTTCCTGGTCATAAGAGTGGAGTACTGCAGGGGGTAAAACACCGCGATGTACCGCTCAAGGCTGATGGTGGCCAGCGTGTACATGCAGGTGGAGTAGACGGTGGCGTTGCAAAACGCGACCACATGACAAAGAGCGTCGGGGCCCTCACTGTAGTCCTTCAGCAGACTCACCCAGAGGTTCAGGGGCATCACCAGCAACGCGAACGCGGAGTCCGCTGCGGTGAGAGACAGCAGGAAGTAGCGGGAGTTTCTGGACCAGCCTTCCACGGAGGAAGTGATGACCAGGAGAACTGCGATGTTTCCCAAAGTGATTATCACCCCCAGGATAATGATGACGCTTATTTTGACGGAGCGGTGGGTCAGTTCCTGCAGTCTCAGAGAGTATGCATCCGACAGGTTGGAGTAGTTGGAGGTGGAGAAGTTAAATGTTAGGTACATGGTTCCTTATTTAACTTAGTAAATCATGTATTTAAAAAAAAGTGTTGACAGGCGAGAAAAAGGAAACTAAACTATGAGTATAGATTGAGTTACATTGGAGAGAGAAGGAAAAAAAAACCCTGCAGGTTTTCTTTCAGACGCATGGGGCAAAAGGTCAGCTGCACACCTGCTGCAATCAGTGACGGGGAGTAACAGCCACTGCAGCAGCGCAACCTGCAAAATGCTTCATCTGCAGCAGTTCAGACTGAGAAACGCTGCGCACAGGAGTAAAATATTTGCGGAATAATTTATCTATTCAGCAATAAGTAAAATATTTAATTTCTGCTCAGGCTGAACAGAAATTTTCCTCTTAAGCCTGAAAAATCCCTCACCCACTGCAGCACATTTATGCAAAACCATAAATAATTATATATGGATATATAAAACTGTCCTCCTTGGCCAGCCAGTATATAAATATTTCACAGTATTAATTTAAGAAAGGACACAAAGAGATCAGTATAGTTGGAAACATTTATTCATTTGTATGTTTTTCTCCTTGATATTGTACTCATTTTGCATGTCCATCACTGACTGAACCATCGTCTCACTTTGCTAACAATGACAGCGACCTACAGGAAGGAAAGTAGGTCCAATATGGCAAACTTTCTTGAACCACTTCAGTACAAAATCCAGGTAAGAGTGCGCTAAATGTAACAGATTTCCATCCTCCCATCATCTTTACCCACTTATCTAATCACGTTCTCAGGGAGTGGATGGTGCCGATCTCCATCTGTCTTTGGGCGAGAAGTGGGGCACAGCATGAGCAGGTCTATCATAGACAGGATAAACAACCACTCTCCCACACATTCAGATAAATCAATGGACTCAACAGGCTTGTTTTTGGACTAGAAGAACCCAAGTTTGCACTGAGAGAACATGCAAACACCATGCAGAAAGAACTCGGGTCAGAATTTTAACTCGGGACAATAAAATCATCCTATTACAAGTGCAAACTGAAGCCAGTTGGAGCAGTTGTTTAGGATTATATTTACACACTTTTCTTCAAAAGGTCCCACAGAAATTGCAGTCTGATGTCTTACAACAAATCATGCTTAAATTTCTGCATTCTTTATAGCTGAGAGGTCGCTGCTAGTGTGAATCTGTCTAAAAGACTTTATGGCCCTAGGGAAAACAAAGGTTATCACTGACCTTTTTTATATATAATACTATACATATGTTGAATCTATGTTGCATGACTTTGTGTTCTTGTGTTTGTTATGATGTAAAGCACTTTGAAATACCTTGCTGTGCTATCCAAATAAAATGTTATTTGACTATATATATATTTATATGTGTATGTGTATTTGTATGTATATTGGATTAATGACATCAAACCAAAGTTGTATTGTTTTTTGATGAATTTTTGTCTACATGAATTTCTTAGATTTTTGGAAATTATGCTCTGTGAAGTTATCAATTAGTAACCTTACAGAAATAAAATCTCCGGCGTGTGGTATGGTGGTGCAGGCGTTAAGCACAACCCAGGTATGGAGGCCTTAGTTCTCAATGTGTCTGTCTCAGGTTCGATGCTCGGCAACCTTTGCCGCATGTCTTTCCCCCTCTATCATTACTAATTTTTCTTTCAATTAACTATCAAAAAAAGCCAATAAAACCTTAAAAAAAACATTTCCCTGAGTTAGAAGAAAATTAATACAGTGGCTGATGACAAGCAGCTAATATGTTTGTCATTTTAGCTATTTAAGACAAATCAAACCTAAATGTTGAGATTCAATGGTAAAATAGCAAATGTTAATTTTTTTCATTCTCACAACACTGTTGTGTTTTCTCACCCTCACAACTTTCGTGTCACTCCACTATTTTTACATTGGCAGAAGCTGCCAACTGTATTAGTCCACCTGCTCAGCTGATCCGGTGTCCATTTGGATAATTTCAAAATGTACCATCTTTGATGCCATTTCACAAGTGACAGCCTGTAGCAACATCCAAACGTTAACTTTGCACAGGTGGACAAGTCACAGCTGATGAGGTTGATAAACACGGCTCACGGCTTTAACCATGGCCACTTTATCAGAGTAACACCAACGTTTTTCTGAGACAACAGGAGCAAACATGAGGACAGTCTGTTGTGAAGGTGAAAATTGTTAAGAAAATCATGTTGAATCCAATGCGTTGCCCAGGTCTCTCTTGAAAATGAGATCGAGATCTCAATGGGATTTACCTGGTTAAATAAAGGAAATAAAATTTTAAAAAATGCATATGAACATTTTCATTTAGATGGTTTACATGTCCGAAATCAAGCTTTCCAGTGCATAGTGGATTTGCTAACATTTCTACAAATTCTGAGAGATATATTACTGATAAAAAAATGAATCATAAGTTCACAGAACCTTTATTAAAAAAACCCTATGGTGATGGGTATTTGCTGTGATTTAATCTGATAATTACAGGTTCTGGTTTAGGTTTTATGAAACTTTATGCAATGTCCTCACTGAACCTGTTTTCTCCATTTGCATTTCTGCTGCAAAACTACTGTACATGTTGCATTTATGGGTGACAGTGGTAGGAGTTCATCCCGTAATGGTGGGTTGCCAGTTTGAGCCCCTGCTCCATCTGCCTCCATTACTGTGTTGTTGGGCAAGACAATCCACCCGCCTTGCCTGCTATTGGTGGTTAGATGGCCCGGTTGCGTGAATGTGTGTGAAAGGGTGAATGACTGAATGAAGCGCTTTGGGGTCTTCTGGACTTCATAAAGCTATAAGTAAAGTCTGTTTACCATAAGATGATTTCTTTCTTCCTACATACTTTGATATTTAATTTGTTTTTCACATATGAAAAGAAAAGAGAGAAAATGTGTTCTTCCTCATTTAGCAGGAAAGATTGCTCATTCTGTGTCTATAAAGAGAAAGCAAATGTAAAGTATAAAATGTTTTCTTATAAGTCTAATGAAGATGTGAAAATGGCCTTTTTAAAGTTTCAAGCTATACAATTTCACTGTATGCTTTTAGTATAGCTATAAAACCCACATTTCCATTGCTGCTGTTAACCTCAGACACAAGCCCTGGAGGGAAGGACTGACTCATCTTAAATAGTCTTTAATCACTGGCAGAGATAAGATGTTACATAAAGTCAAGCTAAATATCCCAATTCCAATTATAGTCCCTCAGTTTATGGTAGAAATGATGGTGATTTCAGTCAGTTTATTGGCTTTTAGGAAAACACAATAATAGAGCTTAATTTTGTTTTTTACAGTTCAGAGCAAATTGAGAGATTGTACATTTCAAGAAATCCTTTAATTTCGCCAACATGTTCTATCTTACTGGAAGTAATTTAACATTTTGGAGCGTGACAAAGTCCATAAAGTAAAAGTAGCAACTTGGTTAACACTAAAGTAAATGGGTGAAAACATTTATTAAATAAGCAAACATTCATCGCTCCCCACCCTTGTTTCAGCAGCCGAATTTCTGTTTTGTATTCAGATGAACATGTACCCAAAGACCCCAAAATTCATGTATCCTACATAACAGCACTTAAAGGTCACATTTCCACATTATCTGATTCACACTGTAATGATATGGTAAAAAGGCTTTGCTCATTTTGCATCATCTTGTCAACAAATGTTGACAAAACTGAAGTTTTTAAACCTGAAATGTAGATGAGTGGGAGTGCAAAGTCCTGCAAGAGACAATCATTTTTAGTTATTATCCCTAATCTGTTCATTGTAAATTTAATAATTGAATACATGTTGTGCTTTATAAGAATGTTTTTTTTTCTTCCTACTCACTTGGCATTTAATTGATTTTCAAACTTTTAAACCCAAAAGACACAGTTTAACACAAAATGTGAAATCTATGATTTTCTAAAAAAAAATCTCATAGATAGGGATGGAAAAATGGATCTGCATGAACTAAACTTGGGAGCATATTTTGGAAAGTCGCTATACAAAATCCAAATAAAAATATGGACAGGGTAGATTACAACAGATTTAATTTCTCTCTGTGCCATTCACCATAAAGCTTGATGTTTTAAAATGTTAAAATGCTTTGTTTGTTGAACTTTTTAATGGAAAGAAGTGCATTGCAAACCATTTTCATAGCACTGTTCATTCATAAAACCAAAGACTTCAGAATAAATGTGAGACTGCGCTAATCCTGAGATATTTCATGTGACAGAGGGAGTGTGTTTTAATCTGTTTTTGTTTCTATGTTGGATCTGCATGAGTGGGTGCCAAAGCCAAAGCCCCACTTGCCCAAAGGTGCATGTTTGAATGTGGTTGATCCCAAGCGAACATGAGAGAGATGAAGAGAGAGGATGAATTCATACATGCTTGCAATTGAATATCCTGTGAGTGGGCAGCCTCCCCCTCTGGCCACCTACAGCGCAGCACTTCCTGATGTGGAGGTAGGTAGCCATCGATTTGATCTGTGCATGTGTGCTGGTGTGTGAGAGGGGCTGTGTGGGCAGTAATGCTATCTAATTCTACCAGCGAAAGATGATGCATGATGTTTGGTGGAGAAATGCAGTAGGGAGGGTTTGATGGGTGATTGCGTAAAAACTTGGAAGTCGACGCTGACACTATGCCTAAAAGATAGCAAGACTGGAGACAAAACTCAACCTGACAGGTTCAAAAGTTCTGAATGCGATGTCTGTTTATACAATGCTTTATTATATGGAATCAATACTGAACTTTGGTTTGGTCAAAATCAACCAGAGAGTGAAGGGGAGAAAGCCCAGAGTGTGCTGGAAGTGAGGACTTTTTTCAAGCAGAATTTTGCAGGAAGAAAATAGCAATGCTAGGTCAAAACAAAAAATGTTACAGTATTTTGTTTTTGTTGATGAAGGTAAAGCTGGTGTGTTTGGGTCATGTCGATGTCAAATTTTATGCCTTTGTAGCATCACAGAGTCTAGAATGAAAGTGAGGTGCCTCTATGTTTCTAAAGATATGTTGTATTTGTCAAACATGGTGTCATGCATTATGGACCAACAATGACTTTATCTGGCCA